CAGCAGGACCCATCCTCATTCCTGTCCTTATCCTAGCAAAAGAAAAACCATGCACTATATAGTTCTTCCCAGCTACCCTTTCAGTCTTCAAAGCACTTTAAAATGTCATAAGTGGCTGTTATTTCAATATTTTCCCCTCCGTTTTCCATAATCAAATCAGAAAATATTTTCCACACATATAATCCATATTTTTTTTTATTTACTTCAATTACGTACTTGTGCGTAAGCATTTTGGAACACAACGCTCTGAGAGGCAAGCTGATTGATGTTTGGAGATTTTACAAGGTTGTCTCCATAACAGCCTAAAGTGGGACGCAGATCATCCACCACTATGAAGAGGACGTTCTTGCCACCTACACGGAAGAGAGAATTATCAGGCATTAATTTAAGCACTGATAAATAAAAGCTAAGGGGGGACTGGAACTTCTCTATATAGACTATGAATGGGCTAAAACAGAACAAAACAGGAGTCTCCAACATCTTCGGAGGATAACTTTTTTTTTTGGTGTTAATCCTTTGAAGATCTAAGAATTCCCAGGCTCCAGTTGCAGTCTAGCCACAACCCCATCAGAGATCATAAATAGGCATGTTTTAGGCACCCGAAAGGACCTTTATCAAAAGGCTCCTGGAAATAACCTATAAAACAAAAAAAGGGGAAGGGCTCAAGTGTTAAATAAGAGCAGAGACGATCCGGTTTCACCAGCAGAGATGTGGGTTTTCCAGGAAATTTTGAATTGGAAAATTTGCCAGAAAATTTTCCAATGCCCTAAATAGAGCATAATCTGATTTAGCATGGTTATTCAACTTATATTTAGTAAACCAAACTAAAAAAGTACTACCATGTTAATTTTATGTCCCAAAGCCACAAGTATTGGAACTGAAATATTTGATTAGGAAAAAAATAAATACAGCACACATAACGTGGTTTAAATGTTATATTCAAACAAATTCAAAGCTTTATGTAGAAAGAAATTATTTTTATTGCAATACTTGTAAAAATGTAAAGACAATACACAATAGCATGTACGTCCCTTACATTATTTGTTTAAATATAAGGGGGAAAAAAAAAACAAAGGCACTGAAAACTGTTGACACTCATTTTAGCACGCCCAAAGGCCTGGGCATGATATACCGTGCTTTGGTTTTGATTTGACCTGCACAGCCAATTAGGTGAATTCCTAAATTGATTTTTGGTTTGGATTATTATGGGAGTGTATTTACCCTTCTGTTTACAAACCAATAAAACATAGATGTACTCTCTCACACACTTCCTAGGGATAATCACCTGAAAAACATTCATTACAACTTTGAAACTGCCAAGTTTGCCTAATATTGTGTTGGCATCCATTCATGATTACTATTGTACCCCTTTTCTCTTCCCACCCCCCACAGCTGGTCTCTCACCCACTGACTCCTCGATTTATATCTTCACTGACTGCCTGTCCTGCATGCAGACCAGCCCAGCCTCTGGCTTCTTTACTACTCCTTCCATCCAGGAAGAGCACACACCAACTGCAGAGACTTTCTCAGCCTGATGAAGGGTTTTTAAACCCGAAAGCTTGCTAAAACATTTTTTTCCAACTAGTTAAGATGGTCTAATAAAAGATACCAGATTCACCCAAAGAACCTTGCCCTACTATAGTATCGGCACCCCTTCCCCATCACTATCGTACCAGCACCCCTTCCCGATCACTATAGCATTGGCACCCCTTCCCCGATCACTATTGTTCCGGCACCCCTTCTCGATCACTATCATACCGGCACCCCTTCCCCATCACTATCATACCAGCACCCCTTCTCGATCACTATCATACCGGCCCCCCTTCCCCATCACTATCATACCGGCACCCCTTCTCCATCACTACCATACCGGCACCCCTTCCCCATCACTATCATACCAGCACCCCTTCTCGATCACTACCATACCGGCACCCCTTCCCCATCACTATCATACCAGCACCCCTTCTCGATCACTATCATACCGGCACCCCTTCCCCATCACTATCATACCGGCCCCCCTTCCCCATCACTATCATACCGGCACCCCTTCACAATCACTATAGCATTGGCACCCCTTCCCCTATCACTATCATTCTGGCATCCCTTCCCGATCACTATAGCATTGGCTTCCCTTCCCGATCACTATTGTACTGGCACCCCTTCCCGATCACAATATCACCGGCACCCCTTCCCCGATCACTATACTACCATTACTAATGAATGTCATGAAACAATGAATTTTTAGAAACGGAAAACTCCCCACGGAAAAACAAAGCGCTGAAAAAGTTTCCATTTTGGAAAATATCCCACAGAAAATGTTCCACCCCACCTCCCTGCCAGCGCAGCGCGGGTACCGCCCCCGCTATCTAACCCCATCCGCAAGGCAGCTTTAAAACTACAAAACAAACATTAAAAAACAAGAATTAGAAAACAAGACTAAAAAAAAAACAAGACTAAAGACTAAAAAAACAAAGCAGTAGAAAAAAAGAATTAGAAAACAATAAAAAACAGGACTAAAGACTAAAAAAACAAAGCAGTAGAAAACAAGAATTAGAAAACAATAAAAAACAAGACTAAAGACTAAAAAAACAAAGCAGTAGAAAACAAGAATTAGAAAACAATAAAAAAAAACAAGACTAAAGACTACAAAAAGAAGACTAAAAAAAACAAGCATTAGAAAACAAGGCATTTAAAATTAAAAACGTCCTTTTTTAGGGGGAAAAAGAAAAGAACTAGCTAAGCCTATTTGCACGGCCGAGGGCAGCCTCGCTGCAGGCCCCAACTTTGCATGCAGTATTTGAATGCGGCCCGGGCAGGGGTGGGAGGCCGCCGGGCCCTGGATGCAGCGGCGCGGGCGCCGGGGCTCTTCGCGGTGCGGGTGCGGATGCGGACTCCGCTCCGCGCCTTGCCGCGCCCCGCGCGGGTTCCCGGGCTGCAGACACGGAAGGCCCTGCTCTGCTCTGCTCGGCCCGGCCCTGCCCAGCCCAACCAGAAGCGGCGAGCCGCCATCGGGGGAGGAGCCGCGGCGGCTGCAGGACCTGCTCCTTAAAGGGCCCCGGGGGATGCCCTCAGCACCAGGGCACCCTGGACAGCCCCCTCGCAGCGCCCAGGGCTTGTCTTCCAGCCGCACCAAACCCTGGGAGCGGGCAAGGTGCGGGGGGCAACCAGGACACCCGGCTCGCTCGCCCGAATGCGCCTACGCCGCCGTGCCGTGATGGCAAAATGTGGCCTAGGGGAATCGCTGACATAAATAAACACCGCGCGGAGTTTAAAGCAACCGGGAGGTCCTAGTAGAGGTGACGACATCTGGAAAAATCTTTCTGGCACAAAAATCTTGTTGGTGTAATAAAAGATATCGCCTCTACTAGGAGCCCCGGTTGCTTTTTCCTCTACACTGATATGGCTTAAGGCCTGCGTGGAAAGCCGGGCCCCAGTTCAGGCTGCCCACATCCAAGAAGTCCCTTCAGATGCACGTGCCCTGCAAATGCATGTTGGCGGAGCGCGCGGTCTCTTTGGGCTCAAAGGAAAGCTGGATACCAGAGTTGTCAGGCCCCCACTTTATAGCTAGTTGGCTCTTTTTAGAGCTGGGCAGGCTTTTTTATCCCGTGATAATGACTTTGCACGGGTCCCGTCTAAATTGATCGTGCGATTAACCAGTTCATTGTGAGATAATGGCTTTTCACGTGCAGCCGGTCTTTGCACCTGTAGCTGGTCGAAATTTATTGTGCGATTCACCAGTTAATTGCGTACCATATCTAATGTGTAGTAGAGGTCTTGTACTTCCCACATCATGAAATCCCAGTTGACCAGGAAGGAGTTTCACAGTGGGATCTGGCACTTGGAAACATCCTACAGAGTCACAACACAGAGCTAAGGATATCAGCACTGCTTCCAAGAAGCCCTGAGGCTTCACCTGCCACGGCACAGTCCCAAGGTGCCACCCCTTTGGACAAAAAATTCATCTAACAAATTGTGCTTGCTTCCTGTTGCTTAGCAGTCCTGGCTGAAATACTTCCTTATTCACAAACGTACAGCTGACATAGTGCAAGCATTGCAAAATACAGGTGTCCAACCAAGCAACAAATCAGCTTGAATCAAATGAGATCTCCTGAAGCTGCAGCAAATCCAGGAGGAATCTGCACCTGGCTGTTTGCTTTGAGAGAGATTTGGCAGGCTCAGATAGCCAAGCAAAACAGCCCAGGTTGGTTTTGCTGCTGCTTGGTTTGATTTAGCAAAACTATATTACTGCAGACAGGTTTGCATCTGGGTCCTGTTTCACATAAGCACCCAAGCCCGTGCAGGGTTTGACTGGGCGGTTGTGGTTTGGGTCAATCTTTTGGAAAAGCAAAAAGGGTCCAATTCACTCCTGCTGCCAGAGCTCAGGCTATGAGGCTCCAAGAGTGGGAAATCTGCCCCCAAGGGAAGGCTGCAGTGACAATGGCTGTGCGCTGCCCCGCTCGCAGGATGAGGATGTGGAGGATACTAGCACCTTTCAGCTCCCTTGGGTGTTTTTTTCTTCAGCGTAATTGCAACTGCAAGGGAAGAAATAAGCCCAGGCTGCAAAATACACACTTTTGAGTGGGAACTCGTATGCTAGGACAGGGGTGGGCAAAATGCCATTGTACCAAGCCATTGTACCCGGCCCGCAGGGCCCCTAAAAAATTTAGAAAACTAATATTTATCTGCCTTGGGCTGCCTGTCATGCAGCCCTTGATGGCTTGCCAAAACTTAATAAATGGCCCTCTGCCCAAAATAATTGTCCACCCCTGTGCTAGGACCATGGTCGTATTAACAAGGGTGCTAGAGGCACAGCTTTGCCTTCTCTTACCCATGCCTATCACAAGATGGCACTCTTGCCCTGAGAAGGCTCCTCTGAGACTGGATTAATTTATAACCTGCTGCTGGTAGGTGCAAGGTTCCTCCAATAATGTAATCCAATGCACCTAAGAAAGGCTTGGGTTTGCTTATTAATCCTCAGATGTTGCTTCTTGGGTTGCACATGTGCTTGCCCTCAACAGTAAATTTCTCTACCCAACCCAAGAACAATAATTGCTTCTGAAAGAAGCCAAAATCCAGCCTTCCCTGACTGGAGTAATAATGGGTAAATCAGGAAGCAAAAATAGGAAGCCATCAGGTACGTCTCTTATGGGACAAGGTAGAGCAGCGAGTCTCCACCAGGGTGTTGGAGCACCCTGGGGTGCTACAGGAAGTGAGAGAAGACAAGCAGATAAAGGCAGGCTCGGGCTCAGGCTCCAGGCATGAGAAGAGAAGCAGGTAAAGGTCCTTCCTGCCCAGCCATTCCCTTACCCCAGCTGCCTATCAAAGGAAGCCACTATAATGAATACCTTTGTTACTGAAGTGGGGTGTTGCCTACTTTACAAAAGTTATGGTGCAAATCTATCCTACCTTCTAAGTAGGATGAGTCATACGGCTACTTCCTTAGTCTGCTTGATGAAGTTACTATATGTTTTTCAAGGGATAAATTTACCCTGGATTTTAGGGTAAGTAGCAGCAGGGCTGTATGGCAAGCGCCAGCTTCATTTTGAGCAGACAGCGAAGTCAATTTGATCTTAGGCAAATAGTAAACCTGTTGTGTGTCTACATGCCTAGTCTGCTCAGGGAAAGGGCAGGGGCAGAAAGGCACTTGTGTGGAGGTAGAGGTCAAGGGCTGGAGTAGACGCCTCTAGAAAGAAGGGTTTTGCAGGAAAAGGCTTCCCTAGGTAGGGTCCAATGCAAGGCCCTATTGCCCCAGGGAGGAGTGTATTCCCAGCACAAACAGCAACAGCATGTGATGAAGGAGCAATACCTATCTTTATAGTGTGGGTAGATCTGGACCCTAGCCAGTCTTAATTCACCCAGCATTCTCCAGCCT